AGCAAGAGGGATCCTATCTCACACTCCGTAACATCATGGCGACAGCATTGCACCTGAACTGCAGCCCGTCTCAGCAGATTGCTGTCCTCTCCTGAAGTGGCTTGGTACATCCTCCACACAGGGAAGTCCGTTCAGGGGATCGATTGTAGAGCTGAGCCACAGATGGCAGGGCTTGACGCCTGTGGTAAAATGAGCACTTTCAGCAGTTTTGGGACGAATGTTCAAATGCAATAATTGGGCTCGAATGAGGCACTCTGGCATTTGTAGGAGACGTCCCCGACAGGTGAAAATAAAGAGATCTAAAGCTGACGAAATGCAGGTTCTGCTGTGGGAGTGTAAAGCAGGATTTCCCCATGTACAGCACATGCCATTTCTCTTGGAAGATAATGTACAGGGGTAATCTTCAAACCAGGACCTGGGCACGGGAGTTTTCTGAGAGAAACATCCAAAATGCAAGAAACAAACAAGAATTTTAGTGAGGAGAAAATGTGTCTCTGTGCTGTTATGGACATGTAGCTCATTCACCCAGGGGCCATTGCGCGAAACAAGGGCTAAGAAAAGAATCCACGCTCCCCCCTGACGATGCCAGAATCAATAATAGTCTCAATAACATCTGGAAATTCGGCAGGCGTTGATGCAATGTTGATGAGGGTTGATGCAAGCGGGCATTGAAAAAAATGACCCTCAATATTGGTGAACGGCTCTTGAAACAGTGGCTCTTGGCGTCGGCGTTTATCAACCGTCCAACAAGGCATCTTGATGCAACATTCCCAAAAAAAACAGTATTTTAGCAATGCTGCATCAACGATCCATTTATCAGCCCAGAGATGCATCCAGAAATTTGGCAGGCTTTGATGCGCCATTGATAGGCCCTTGCATCAACGCAAACTTTCAGAGCTCGCGTCTGCAGAGCGGCGTTGATGCAGTGGCCTGTCAATATTGTATCAACGCCTACCACAGTTCCCGAGCAACACACTGGAGCGATGCCAGGCATCAACTTCCAGGCGCCAGGGCAATGCCTTGTGTGCTCTGCATGCGTCACCAATGGATTGAGCTATGGATTCCCAGACTGAAACCTAGGGGGGGCATGTGCATAAGCGGTGCTCGTTATGCACCCCTTCATTGGTTCGGGGGAACTCATCACCCAATTGCTGTCCTGGCCAGATGAGGATCTCCATGCAGCCATTGCTTTGTTTGGCGTGAATATCACCACATTTCCCGGAGTATGCCCGTTGGTCCACAGGGCAACAATGAGTAGAACCAAATGCCATGAAGCAACCCCACATAAGCCCTCGTCTATCAAACCTTATGAATGTTATGAAAAGTGCACCTTATCCGGGCATCCTGCTTGAGTACTCTGCCAGGTCATCTGGCCACCTGTGCAGTGCTTAGGTTGGTAATTTTCCCATTGATTCCTGCGGCGGCATTTTGGAGTGTCTTCATGGGCCGGAGGGCGCAACCGCAGGACGACAATCCTTACCGCCCCAAAAGCGCATCTTCGCGGTTGGGAGTTGCTATGAGTCCCGCCAAGATGTGCCCATACGCGTGCCCATCCCCCGCTCTCGCTGAAAAGCGAGGCTGGCGATCAGCACACTCAGACAAGATTCGAACCAGAGACCTCCTGGGCCACCGGTCGGCAAGACACCAAATAACCTGCCCAGGGGTGACTGCACCGCCCTCAACGCCATTGCTGCCTCGCCACATCGCGATACTGTCCGTCATCGCCTCCTCAGGCGCAAGAGCCTTGGTTTTGCCATGTGTTTTTGACAAATGCAAGCAATGGGATTCACACACACCGCAACGTTGTGGCCGGTGCGAGGCCAGCGGAGCCAGCATGGCACGACAACACCAGCTGGCTCACCTCTTCCGCCTTCCGCCTTAAGTTTTCTCGAGGCCAGAGCGCTGGTTCAACAGATGCGAGCCCGTGCACGAGCCCCGAGCGCTTGGGTGCAGGTTTATGTCCGGCGGCCTCGGCGCCCCGTGCTTCACGTTGGCCCAGTGGACACATGCTCCGTGCTTTGGGCAGTACTGTCATGCCACGGGCGCCTCTCGTGGCCTGCCGTGAGCATCGAGGGAGCCATTTGCGCAGGGGTGCACACAGGGTTGCGTGATGCTGAGCGGAAGCACGTGCTGACACGCTGAGCTCTCGTTGTGTTGTCATAACTGGAACCTATTTAGGTCCGTACCAGATAACATTGGATTTGGCACCAAACTGCCATCATTCCAAATGAAATCGAAATTGGCATCAAATAGTATTGAATCTGATACCAAACTGCCAAAGTACCAGAAAAATATTGAAACTGGTAACAACGCATATTGAATCTGGTGCCAAATTCGTGCCGGTACCAAAAATGCTGAGCAAGTACAAATAAGTCATCAAATCGCCGCCACCATAAAGGCTCATAAACCCTAAACCCTGAACTCTAAACCAAGTTCAAGCCCAGTGCTGGTCGCAGGGCTGGTCGCAGACTGCCATTCGATGACTAGTGGTACTGGTTCAACATGTTTTTTTACACCGTTCAACGTTTTTGGTACCGGCTCGAATTTGGTACCATATTCGATATGCGTTGGTACTAGTTTCAATTTTATTTGGTATGTCGGCAGTTTGATAACAGATTCAATATTATTTGGCATGGAGTTAAATATACACATTGTGGGTGACTGGAACTGATTGAGTATTATTAACAATTGAACGCCTAAAACGATGATGAGGCATTAGGAATTGCATCAATGACAGTGCTGAACGGACTTGATATAAGGGACAGTACTCCTGTTGTCCCTTTGCTCGGCTGTAAAACCACTGCCGTGGACTCAAACCTGTGGTCCCCTTTCAGGTCGCCACGTCTCGACCCTGCCTTCCTTCGTTAGTGTTTAGTGCGAATGATAAAGGTGATGTCTGCCCCAGGATTCAACCAGGTACCCCTGAGGGGATATCCCACTGCTCTACCAATACCAACCGGCCAGGGGTAAGGAACAGGGTAGTCTGAACCCTTGTGTACCCTTACACCTTGCAGTTCACATGGGACCATAAGGGAGGCGGGCATGGCCGCGGGCTAGGAGACACAGCTGATGGAACAGACTTAGAGAGAAGTCACGACAGGCATGTCCCTTCATAGGCATGCAACCATCTGTCACTCCTGGACCAGTCACTGCCGTATCAGTTCGTGTTGAATGGATGCCAAAAACAGTTCGATGGCCGGCTGCTGCCTCTCATCTGATTTTTTGTGTCCGGTCACATCACGGGTCCATTTTTAGTAATTGGCAAGATGGTGGCAGCGCATGTGAAGCGCGCAATCGACAAGCCATATTTCGCTTTGGCAGTTGTTGCGGGCAGTTTGATCATCGGGGACCAAAAGTGGGCAGTGTATCAGCCAGTCGCACATGCGGCAGATCATTGCAACCTGAAGTCACTTGCCGTTTGAAAGTGCATCACCATCAGGACACCAACGCTCTCACGTTGTTGATGAAAATAGAACAAACAGAAATGATCAGAAAAATGCATGCTTTTGACAGGTTACGCTATGGAGGAAATCAGTTCCCAGAAAGAAAAGATCAGTTCCCAAATTAGGCAACAGAAGACAACCACGGAAGAGGCAGCCCTGGTGTTGGAAAATAAAAAAATTGGCTGGTTTAAATAGTTGGCAACAAAATCCATGCATCCACATCAGGGTTCCAATTTTGCACTCAGATGTTCGCTGTGCAGATTTCCACAACAGAAAGAATTCGGTGTTTGCAACAGAAGTGAGAAGCAATCCCTGTGAGCATCGCACAAATGCTCCCCAGGCTAAACTGCCTCAGAATGTGAGGTCAGGCCCATATGACAACTAGACATTCGGAAATGGCCAACGCGTGCACAGCACAGGCTGGCAAAAGATTGGGCATCACCAGCAGAACAGTGATCAAATGCCTCCAGGTGGATGGACCATGAGGACAGGGTCCCCTAAGGATGAAGGGAGAGGCGGAGATCATCAACTATGCAGTGCCAATCCGTAGCTAATCCAATCTTGATTTGGCAGGGTGACTCGGGAGGTGCGCTTCCAGCTCCTCATCGCTGGGCGCCACCACGCTTGGAACGTCATAGGCCCATCAGGCCGGCGCCCTTTGCTTCCATGCCTATCCAGGTTGGTGCAGAGTCGGGGGTGACGTCGTTTCAAGCGACCGATGGATGGATGCCGGCGGGTGCTTCGTCGATCATTCTCTGCTCGGTGTTTCTATACTCATTCGACACACTTTCCGTGGCTCAGTTCCGACAACCCCGGCCACTTCGGGCGCGCCGAGGACGGGCGGCGCAGGAGATCACTTGCAGCCGGAGCCCATCCGCCGGCGGCTGTGCAACGATCCAGCGCATCCCGCAAGCCGGTCCACGGGGAACCGGATACCCCAACCACGGTTCACACGATTCCTAATCCGGCGCGGGGTAACAAGATAAGGGCTGGCCCGGGGATGGCACGGGCGTGCAGGTCATCGGGGCCCGCCTCAGCGACCTGTGATGTCGCCTGTGGGCAGGTAGTTGAGGGCGCACTCCCCCTGCCACTTGGAGACGGCGGAAGCTGTCTTGAAGGCGGCCCACATGCCCATGGCCCGCTGCGTCCTGCCGTCGGGGAAGTGCCGCGCCAGGGCGCGCTTGATGGCGCCGTCGATTTGGAACCGCGCGAAGGACATGAGAAGCATGTAGCGCACGGCGCTCTGGTGCGCCTCGCTCAGGCCCGTCTCCTCTGCGAAGGGCAAACCGCGTTCGGTCACAGGCGAGCCCACTGGGTCCAAAGGCGCCGAAAAGAAGCATCGCACCTCGAAGCATACCGCTTAAATACTTCCTCGATTCAAGTACTAATTAAGCTATTTGAAGAAAGCGTCTTGATGAAAATCAGGCTTAGCAATAAGTGGGTTTAACGAGGGGTCGAAGCTCCATGGTTTTGGGGCCCGTTCGAGCTAAAATCTTTCGGCAGCTTAATGCAGTTTAACAGGGGAAGATGAGGCAAGAAATGACCACAAATGGGCAAGGCAAAACGTATTCAGGGGAAGCTATCTTGCAAGCAGCACAGTGGCAATGACAACTATATAAACATCCAAGAAATTTTGTCAGCGACAGGGACATGCTTCCGCAATCTGCGTTTTGAAAACGATCAAAATTTGAATGTGATGCACTGTTGCGAGGCAGCAGGCTTGGTCTTTATAGCGTAAAGAGTGGGCGTTTATGTGTATTTATTCATAAACATAGCATTTACGTTTTTGCGCGTAAAATACGTAAATTTTAACCCCGTGCACATAAAGACAGTACATGCAGACTCAGGGAGTCCGGGGAGCGGCAGATGGACGCGTTGGAGGGGGCAGAAAACGACTTTTTGTTCGACGATGTTTTTGCCCCTGCCGAGGCGCGGTGGACGCTGTGTTGTGGGTGCTCGAAGGTGGCAGAGGACTGAGCATTGTATGCGAACTCATCATGTGACTTGGGTGCCCCAACGAGCCATAAATACAGGTGCAAAAATCACCGCTTGTGCATTTTTGCAATTTTACATGTAAAGATTTAAACGCCAAAACGTGAACGCAAATGTAAAGACCAAGCCTGCGGCACAGCATACCGGTTAGCAGGAAGGACGGCTCTACCCACATGTCGGTGCCGCAGGGAAAAGCATGCGACACAGTATTCCAATCCATCTGCCTCGCGTCGGCGTGGGCGCTCCTTTCACAGTAACCTCAACTACTTAAATGTGTGCGCGGGTGCAAGAACCTTAGGACAGGCACAGAACGACGGGGAGTGGCACTCAGACGATAGGCGACATGTGAATGCTCAAGTGCCTTGGCAGCTGCGCATAGAATGGCCGTCTAAAACGATTGCTCTACTGCAGTCTCAATCCGCCAACATACACTCTACCATTTACGTCCCAGCCAGAGAGTCAACGTCATTCAATGCTGCACAGCGTCGAAGCCCATTCTCTACAGGCGAATCGCGTTTCGGGTCACAATGGGTCCCATGGCAAAATTGAAGTGATTTGCGGCAGGTAAATCGAGACTACCATCGTTAGCGGCAGACAATGAACTGCAAAAGAACCTAGAAAACTGGATTCAAATTCTAAACATGAAAACTCTTATTTCCCAAATAAGAGGGAAATTCGTAGTTCCAAATAAACACACTTCTCTGGTGGTATCCTTTCAATTAGCCATGCTCCTTACTTGCCACTCTGTACACCCATTTGTTCGCAGCTGGTGGAGCTTCGCCTGTGTACTTTTCGTCGATGTACTTTCCCACGTGTTTCGTCACTTCCTTGGGAATGTACTTGTTGGCGAGTTCGCCCATTGCCCAGCTCCAGTAAGTGAAGGCCTGGCGCCCAGGAAGGCGTGATTTCAATACGCCGGTTACAATCAACACACCATGCACTTTTCGTTTCTGCCGACCGGCACGCGAGCGCTGCTGGGCGGCCTTACGAAGGAGCACAGAACGCCACCCATTCGATATGTGGAAGGTCCACAAATGAAAGAAGGCGATGGGCTTACGTTGTTTTAGGTGTTGTTTCGACAGACGCGCAAAGATTCGTATGAATTCTCAAATTCTCAATTGGAGATTTGACGAATGTACATAGTACAGATACCGCCTTTGCTTGCATTGACGACCACATCAAAACACCATAATCTTGTTCAGGAACAACGCTTCTCCTATCTTTCTATATTCATCTACTGTCTTTGTTCGCACACGTACATTCATAAATTTAGAGCCAACGACTGTCGATTTCAGTGCGCCTATCCGTCAAGGACCATTGGATGTCGAGGCTATGGAGGCTGATAACTACAGTATAGAATATCGAAATAGATCAGAAATAAGTAGGGGTGGGTGTTCCGAAATGCCCCCATCACTTGCTTTCTGAAGTCTGGGGCTGCTTGCCACTCATGCCAGACATGCCACCTTGGCGGTTTGCTGTCATTGGGCGCCAAAACCACGGGACAGGGCAGTGAACAGGGCACGCAGCCCGCTGGCATTCCGGACTCTCAGGACATGATTCATTACACAATGTTGGAGCACACAGGTGGAGAGCACACAAATTGAACGGACGCAAAAAATTTTCCCGGGTATATACAGGCCCGTTATCACCTACAGGTCTCAAGACCACCGCCAACGGAATCTTAAATAATTAAAGCACGACGGATGCTTGCCGGGCCGAAGGTGACGATCAGCGCAGTGAACGGAGATCTGCGTTCCCTGCGCAGATCGTCAGTTCGGGTACACCTCTCGAGGCGGGTGAACCAGGATTTGGTGCGGTTTCCGTGCAAGGAAGGCTTACGTAACGCTCGTAGACAATCGCACCAAAATCGCGTCAAACAAAACGGAATTCGGTCCTGGGCCGCGCTGCCGGTGAGCGATTCTCCCCTTGCGACACTTGTCTATTTGCGATATGAGCATGGCATTGAATAGCACCATTTGACGTTTGGGAACTTGGACTCTTAAGTGTCCAAATCTCTGCATGTCAAGATGCACCAAACGTGACGTGGGGAGGCTGGGTCTCGGAGGCAACGAAGAACCAAACGAATCTCGGAATAAACTTGGCTTGTGCGACATCACACCTTTGCCACAGATGCGTTTCTCTGCGCCCACTGAAATTCTCCGGGCAGTTGGCTGTCAACGACCAGGATCTCCAGCGAGGCCCCCTGCTTCAAAGGTCCCACTTCCTTGACCGTCTTGCCCAGCTGCGAGAAGAAGAACAGGTCGAAGAACGGTCTCTGCAATGCACAGCAGCCGCACAGCTGTCGCCGCGAGTATCGAAATTGCGATGGAAATTCACCAATCAGTTTATTCGATATATTTGCGATGGCCTAGTTGGCCAAGACAACGGGAAAAAAAACGCCTTGCACTGCAACTCCCACTGTTTCCTTATATTTTTGAAGGGTATCGTTTGCATGGTATAAGACTTTGTGCAGCATTGCGCAAGTTCAGCGAGAAAGCATGCAACAAAAAAAAATGAACTACAGATGGCTCTTTTGTTTTGAGGGAAGACGCTATGCCGATTTTGGTACGCTTGACATCAATTTGACACCTGAGCCCCCCCGTAAACCCCCCTTTGTGTTGTGTGCTCATCTTTGCTTCGGAGGCTCTATATCATCTTTTCCCAGCATGGAAAAGAGCCTCACATGCACTTGCCTAGGAGGGGGTGCCCTTTGTTTGACCCCTTTCTCTTTCTCTTTTGTAACAACTCTTATCCCCTCCTCCCCACCCCCCCCTCCTTAGCATCAATCCTTGTCAAAGTCAGGATGACTGAGCAACATTACAGAATGGTGTAGTACTCATTTACTATGTTTTGCTGAAAGAAAAATAGGCGAACTGCAGCGATTGCAATGTGCTGAAATTTGAGATGCAAAGAGACATGGTAGACGATGGGGCCACCCTGGAAGGCTGCCACTTGAGGTTTTATGTGGATCTTTGCGAAGACTGAACGGCAAAGGGAGGTTTGGGGACAAGTCGCGCGTTCTCGCGCCACTCCCCCCCCCCCCCCAAGTGTCAAATTGACTGTGAGCGTACTAATTTTCACATAGTGTCTTCCATAACCTGCTCATGCACAATCAAGAAATGAAAAATCGAAGAGGCAATTTCAACCGGCGCACATCGGGGGAGGAAGTACCAGCGGTTGATCACTGCGCCCAACGGGGCTGCACCTTGCGAGGGTGTGACCTTGATTTCACGGCATATCAAGAAGGGACAAGCTGGGCCGACGAAAGTGAGCCAAGGAACCCAGCTTCGATTGCGCGATTCTCTCTCATCTAGCTGATGCCAAAACTTCAGTGGGGCCTTGCCATACACGATCTAATTCGTGTGTATAATGTACGGTTTCGCAGCACTCAAACAGCATTGAGAATGTTGTCTTCACAGCAAGTTTCATTGGCAAGGGCGGGATGCCTGTAAGTATGCTCATTTGGCAGACAATGCTCAACAGGCAGGGCGTAATTTGAAACTTGAATCTTGCACCAGTATAAAGGCCATTTGATGATGCCGGCTGTGATGGCATTTGACATTAATTGATGCCACCACAGCTTTTCCTGTGCCATTGATATCACTTTGGTTTCGCCATTTAGCGTGAAATGACATGGCAGTTACATGGCAGTTAGTGTCAACAATTGGTGCTTTCTTTTGGTGGAAAATTACCTTCATTGCAGCAAATCACAAGCGCCAACAAAATACAAAGAAAATTAACATAAGTCGGATGTTCCTTTCCTCTGAGGGAAAAGGCAAGTCAGACAAATTGTGAATCAATTTTTTGGTTCATATAATTGGCTTTGCATTTCTAGTGTAGGTAGCCCACTGAAGGCTGTGTGGCGAGGAGGCGCGTCTTTCCCGAACACCTGTGGCTTCCTTTGGTGGAGTGAGAGCGTCGACGCTCCCCACCTTGCCAGCTACAATAGATCGCAAGATGTCCCTAAGTGCTTTCGTTCCAACATGTACCCCAGGGTGATTTTTTTGCATGTCTGAATATTTATATTGTCCTTTCATCTACTGCAGGTAGTGAAATGAAGTAATAGTTCCATCGCAGGGGATGTGCGCAGCCCACACATTAGGAACAAAGCAAACACATGTTACGCTTGTTTGGCACACTTCCGGCGAAAATTGAACAGAAAATCACCTCAGAATATTCGATCTTGTGTCAACTTCCATCAAGGGCCTTTGGGTTAATTGTACATGCATTCAATCTGTACTCTACACATACTCATATATTTCATACTCATACTCCGTATTTAGATTGGTACTTTATATTGATAAAATTTGACAGTTTTCGGAACTCGATTCCGTGCATAAATCATTTCGTATGAATACGCATCATGCACAACTAGAATAGATCGCAATAAGTATGTACAAAGTTGTCTATTAAACCATATTTCTAGCCCCTTTTCTTGAGACATGTGCCTGTGCAATTTCCAGCAGTGTGATCTGACCGCACCTGGAGGAAAGGGAAGGCGCGGAGGAGGAGCTTGACTGGCCAAGGGAATGCTGGCAGGACGAGATCGGTCGTTAGATACTTCTGTACGATCCTGTTCAGGTAATTGAACATGTGAATCGTGCCGATGATTTCTGGGGCCTCGTTCATGTTGAATGGCGGCACCTGGCAATTAAGGCAAACCAAGTGAAGCGTATTCAGAACAAAGGAGACCAACACTCTGGTACGGTGACCTCCTTATAAACATTGCCCAAAACAGTGCGCTGGCTGAACAAGAGTCGAACAAGAGATTGATTTTTTGGCTAGTTTAGAACTTAGTCGTTATCGCACTCCTCGTTAACGAATCAAACCACTTTAACATTGAAGTGGTTCGATTCTGTGAGCCTGCGTCTAAGTCTAAAACAACACTCGGCAACCTCTGTGCTGAAGAGCAGGTAGCCGGTATGGAACAAAGGGTATGCATACATTATTTCAGGCATGCGCCTCAAACACTGGTGAAATAGCAAGAAACTTGCCCAGCAATTTTATACGGGTTAAATCGATAACATCTAAGTTGACTCTGAGTCTAAACATTGTGAATTGATGCGATTTTGAAAGCGCCAACAAACTGTAAGAAACGGATATTTCATCCCTGGAGAATGCTATTCAAACGGGCGACTGTACTCATTTGCACTCATTCATTCGTTCCTTCAACCTGTTGAAAGGTGGCGGCTGACCTCTTTCAATGCCGGAGCATCCCTTCTCTGGCATTCCTTTGCCCACGAGCACACTTTCCTAACGTTCTCTTCTGTCAACAGAGAGGGATCGCCGGCCGCGATCGACGCCCGAAGAGAATACCCATCTGCGGAGGCAGCCACAAAAGGGGCAAGCGATATTGTCAGTCTCGGCATTGGCACAGTCCAAGTTGGGTGATGCCAACTCCACTTGTGGCGCATCTGAGGCACCTCGTCACACTGCCACAGGGAATTCCTGTTGTTCTTGGAGACCTGCACCTGTTTCATGTCCTGCTGTTTGCAAGAGCTAGGTGTACCTTCCCAAGCAGCATAAGACAGCCATCTCATGGCAAGCTTACTTTTCTGTCAAGTGTTTGCCAGTCCAGAAGTGGAATGAGCTGCTGACAGACACAGTAAGTATGACTCCACCGCACTTGCCCTTTTCTTCTTTTGTGTCCAAGTTCTTTCCCATCATCGATTCCGCATGGTAGAAAACTCTCCCTCTGTGGTGGGGGCAACACTGCCAGACCGGGCATCGCCAGATACAGAGGCTGCTCTGTGGAGTTTCGGGTTCTATTGCTGGACCGATTTCCTGACAACTCCCTGGATCGAATGCTCAATTGAGAAACCTTGCGAGGGAATTTTTCAGGTGATTGGATGGCCTCGGACATGCCTTCAGTACTCTGGATCTGTCTTAGGCCAGCCATCTCTGCCACAAAGAGACGTGTCACCTCATCCTGTTGTGACAGCAACCCAGGTGAGGCGAACATTGTCTTAGGTAGCCTCTTTCTGGCACTGGTTCAGTCTTTCACTCTGCAGTACCAGTTTTTTGCATCCCTGTCGGTGGGCACCATACCTGCTCCAGCCGCAACGGCGAAATTTGTGTGGCTGGTGGTGCAGCATTTGCAGCCATTCGAGCTGGAGATTGTCGCCGCGATGGGCTCCTTGTTGCGCCGAGTCCTCGATCCATCGGAAACCACACACTCCCTATAGATCGCCCAACAGCCGGCGTAGACGGGCGGGAAAAAAGCATGGAGGGCCTCCGGGTCTGCGGGTGCCCCATTGTCCGGCTGATGGCCAGGAAAGAGCTCTTTCTGGACCTGCAGGAGACAACAGAAGCCTCATCACTCTGCCTTAGGCTCTGCTGTTGACGCCTCCATCGTTTGCAAACCGCATCTTTCGTCGCCACACGTGCTAACTGCGCTACCTGCTACTCCAGTTGCAGTCAGAGGCTTCTGTGGAGTGTCGCACTGTATGAAATGAGCCCGGCAACAATATCGCAGGGCTTGGCGTTCACCTGTCCATGACGTGCGCCCATTGTGTTGACCATCTGCTGCAGCTGAAGGAGGCAGCGGGAGGCCGCGAGGCGAAGGCCTGTCAGAGGTTCCCAATTTGGCATATCGCAAACTGGCTCGTCCCTGTTCGCATATCGGCTTGTCCCTTTACTGAACACGGGCACGGTCGCCTCAATTCCAGGACCTCAGTCAAAGCTTCTAGCATCAAGTTCAGGCATGGTCGCTACAAGCGGGGGATCAAAACCACACCTGGGCCACGGCGCGCTCCAGAAGCTCCTTGTGGTCCGCATCGGTGGTCGAGGCCATCCCCAACGGTCGGAACGTCGCGGCGCCGAGGCCTGTCGTTACGACCTCGCACGCGGACGTTGGCGGCCGACTCGCCGCAAGGCTGGGAACAATGCATGCAAAGATCAGCACGGACGTTTCGAGACTGGACGAGTCGGGCTGATTGGCGTGGGGGTACACTGGGGAGGAAGGTTGGGACCCAAACTGGTTGGTTGCACTGACAAAGTTGAGCGACGCGAACGCCTGCGCGGACTCCCCAGCCACACGCAAGTCGAGTCGAGCATGGAACAGGGCCTCCAAGCGGCGCTCCATGACGCGGTCCCGCTCAGGGTGCGCCGCTCCCCAAGTTCCCATCACGCGTCGGCCCACGCTTCGACAGCAGATGAACCGCAATTGTAGGGCGCCGAACACAAAGGTCAAACTCGCTCTGCGTCACCGCCAAGGCACACGCCGCCACGCGCGGGCAACGGACCCCGGGGAGACCCCCTCAACCCCCAAAAAAACAGCCACACGCCATCCCCCCCCCCCCGGACGTGGTCGATCGAGATCTCCGCCCAGGCACAGGGCTTCGCGGCCCAGGAATGCAAGTGCCGTGCGCTCATCAGCTTCCTCGCCTCTCGCCTGCCATTCATGGGCTCAAATTCGCGGAGCTCATGGCCTCAACCTCGGGGACACCCCCACACGGGCGCAGTACAGGCCATTGGTCGTCGGACGACCGCATTGGCCGGTCGCAGCGGATTCGATGCGGCGGACGCGATGGCCCTCCAACTGACCTTCGAAAGCTGGGGGGGCAGGTCTGGCCCGCTGGAGGGCCCCCTGCGCAGAAGGGAGAAGGCCAGGCGGCGCCCTTCGACCCTGCCTGCGCCCTTCCTGACCGTACGCGCACTTTGAGGCTGAGTGACACGAGCGCGGTGAAAAACGGGAAGACGTCAATCAGTCAGCAGGAGCCTTCGAGCCGTCCCTGTACTTGGGCGCCAAACCGCTGATTCGATTTCTGTCAGCACGGGCAGAGAGGTTTCGACCTGGGTCGCTGGGACCACGCGCCAATCCGCCCTTAAGTACTGTCTAAACTGCGCTCAAGCGCTGGTTAAACGGCACTTAAGCAGTGGTTGGCGGGTGTTGCTGTCGGATGTGATCCGACCGGTTCAGCCCTGCTCCAAGAGGGTCGCCGGGTGCCGTGCGTCCATTCACTCGGTCAGGGCGATCATGCGCGAGGTCAAGTTTGACATATCCTTCGCCGCTGGGATGAGCGCACACATGCGCCGTACACCGGCCGTTTTAACTGCCCCGCTCCCACCCTTCTGTGGCCGTGTCCTTCAATGAGCATGCTCATGGGGGCATTCAGGGGCAGTTGGCTGTTTCCTACCCTCCTGGCACTCGCATGTACAGGGACCGATCTGTTGGGTGTTTGGATTTGGTTTTGTTCAGGGGCTGGGGTTTGAGATTCTTAAAGAATCGAAAGAATCGAAAGAAATCTTAAAAAAGTAAGGGAAATTAAAAGTCTAAAAAATCTAAAAATCCAAACATCTGGAGAATCTAAAAATTCAAGAAAATCCACTTCTTCCATCAGGAATTAAATGAACCAATTCATTGACTGACCACATTTCATCATGCACTTTCTATTTTTCCTTCAAAATTGGACCAGCATATCTACTATATGTTTAGACAATTTTGTCAAAGTTTATCGACAGAAAATAAGATTCAGACATATGGTAGTATTTTGGAACCAAACGGCTTAGTATCAGAATTTGAACATTCGCAATGAGTCCCCTACCCCACCAAAACCCAACGCCCTGGACCCAGGAAGGCCCGCCGCACGAGTGATGCCCTTTCCAGTGGTCTGAAAATATCAGAAGGGGGAAGTTGCCCTGGCGCTCGGGCTATAGCCTAAAGATCGACACCCTTTGCAATGCACGATCGACAGAATTGGCACCCATGTTTGCGTACCGCCATCGATGGATGCACGAAATTCCCCCCATCTTCCACAGCAGCACACCGACATGCCTGGGATCCCCCACTGCCTAGAGGTCTCCTAATGGCTAAAGAAACAAGCTTTCGTGCAAAATGTCGGTAAGGTCCAAATAGGAGCATTTGTGCGCAACATTGTTGTTATGTGATTATTTTGGCGAAGCGGTTGTGCGCAGGACTGGACGTCTGAAAATAGACGTGTTTGTGCGAAATATTGTTGTATTTGAGTACACAACAAACAGTAGAGGGAGAGCGCATTTACAACACACGTTCAGCGATACACAGCACAATCTCAAAAAAGTGGTTACAAAAAATTTACAGCACAACGTCAGCTCCCAAGTGGGGAGTCAACACCCACCGACCCTACCCCTCCGCATAGCCCAACAACCTCTACCATCCGCCGCGCCGCCCCTCGTGCTCGCACTCCCCTGGCGGACCACACCACTCCCCCCCGCCATCCACCTCGTCCCGGTACCCCACCCCCTCCCCACCCCACCGCCCTTCACCCCCCTCTGCCAAACCACCACCCCGGGCCGCCCTGTCCCCCTGCACCCGGCGGGTTGGCGGCCGGCATGGCGCGTGCGTGGGCCAAGGCCGGTCGGGAGCACCCCACCGCATATCCACCCCTTTGGGGGGGGCGGAGCGCCCGCCGGCCCTCCGAAAAGCCTCCATGAAAGTGTCGAGGAGGCCGGGGCTGCCCACGTGGTCAACGGCGCCCCCCCGCCGGATTAACTCAGCAGACGGCCGACCGCCGCCCTCCGCTGCCACGCCGGCCGCCCTCGCACCCGCCGCAACGCCTCCCTCCGCAAGTCCACCCGCCCCTTGGAGGTGGCCATGGCCGGAGGGGGAACGGGGACGCTGCGCGGGCCCCGGCGGCACCGCCGGCCCCCGACCCAGGGCGCGGGCGGACCCACCCACCGCCAGGCCCACCATTGTGGTGGCGGCATAGGCGGCGGCCACGGGGCCGCGGGGCTCCGCGCCGGTGGGAGGGGGGCCCGCCGTCACCCAGCACCGCCGGCCCTTGTTGAGCCAGCAGGCCTTGCAGCCGAAGACGAGTTCGGCGGGGGTGACGGCGGCCTTGTACCAGGGGCAGGCAGGGTGGACGGTCCGCCCGTGCTCGTCCCACCGCCCCGCGCATCTCCAAACGTCCCCCCAGGAGGGGACGCGCATCCTCAGGGTGAGGGAGTCCCTGCGCCACCGCAAACAAACACGCTCAGTACGGCATTCCTCGGCCACTGGGGGATCCTTTGCGCGCGCCGAGCGCGCAAACAGAGGAAAAAAAAATTCGAAAATTGCCAAAGAAATCAAAAAAATGTTTTTTCTATTCTCTCCCCTTGCCGGCTTACTCCCCCCCTCAGCAGCCGCAGACACCCTTTGCGCGCGCCGCGCGCGCAAACAGAGGAAATAAAAAATTCGAAAATTGCTAGGGAAATCCATTAAATGGATTTATTTATTCTCTCCCCTTTCCGGCTTCACTCACCCCCCCTCAGCAGGTTCCTCCTCAGAGGGGGCGATGGGTGGCGCCGCCGCCTCCGGCGGATCGGGGGCCGCGGCTGCCCGGCGCGAGGGGCCTGCCCCGTGCCCCCACTCACTGGCCGCCGGCGGCGGGGCGCTAGCAACGCCGCCCAGGGCGCGGGCCAGGCCACCGGCCACAGTATTGAGGCCGGGGGGGCGGGCCAGGGCGGGCGCCATGCCGGCGCTGCCCGCCGCGCCGGCCGGCATCCTTGCCGGGGCGGCAACACCGACGCCCCCGGCCCCGCCCGCCCCGGCCGCTCTCGCCGCGGCCGCCGCTCTCACAGCCACTGCGCACGGCCCCGCCTCACGCGCACGCGCGGCGAGGCTCGTCGCATCCGCCCCGTCGTCCGGGGCGGCGCTGGTCACGGCCCATGGGGGGCTGCCCACCCATTCGGGGCACGCCCCGCTGGGGAGGCGGTCAGGGGCGGAGCCGCGGTTCACGCGCCCATCCGCCATTCGGCTGCGATCGGCGATTGGCGGCCTGCGGCGGAGGGCGTGGTGGGCCTGGGCTGGGGCGGAGCGGAGCAACTGGTAGCGAATGGCCACGGGCGTCTCCATAAATACCCGCCACCGTTCCGCGACGACGTGACGTGTCGATCCTGCGAATCTCAAGATCTGCGAAAAAGCGAATGTCAAGATCCTCCAACACCAACCCTGCGCGGTCGGCTACTTATTCCGCGACACCCCCCATTTGCAGCATAGCCCCCAACCCGCCGCAGCCAGAGCCGCCGCCCAAGCCCACCATGTCGCCCAAGAGGACGTTCGCGCGGAGGGCCAAGGTGCGCGACCCACGAGAGGGAGCGAAGGGGGGCCGGGTCAGCGCTGTAATCGCGGGGCTGGGGCGATTGGGGAAGGAGCGGTGGTGGCGGTGCCGCCGCTGGAGCAAAGATGCGCGGGCAAAGGGCGCAGAGAGGCCGCCAGGGCGGAGCGGCCATACAGGCGGGCGTCAAGACTGGCCACGCCACCGGAAGTCTGGCTGCGCGCGACATACGCCGATCCGCAAAGACAGCGAAAGTTCCAGAGCCTTCGAAGAGCCCATGCGTGAAGGGGGGGGAGGCGACGCAATACTGACACACTTTCTTGAGTCGGACATGAGTAATGGAATGAAAAGGAATATGATGAAATAACGCGTGGGTCCCAGCCGTAGCCGTTTGCGTGCGCCGCGCGCGCAAACGGCACCGAACGAGCACCGACCGCCGCAACGCTGCCATCCCGGGTCTCATTGTCAGCTGCGGGACAGTTGGAACGCGTTCAACAGGGACCCGACGCAGCGGAACGGTATTCGAAACGTGGGGGTTTGCGCGCGCCGCGCGCGCAAACTCCCTGCCAGAGGAGCAGCTGACGTCGAAAGAAACCATTGTCCATCACTCGATCTGTCTGTGTCCTGGTCGGCCGGTTGACGAACAGGCAGCACGAAGGGGGGCGGGCACCACGCATCGCCGGGAGCGAGTTTGTAGCCGACAGCAAGGACCGTCAGTGTGTAGCTTGCGCGCGCCGCGCGCGCAAGCTACCTTGCTTTGCCACCTTCATTCGAAGGTTCTGTATCGGCAGTCGACAACTTGCAAAGAGTTTTCTGACCGTTCTGCAGGGCGAAGTGTACAAAGAACCCAGGAGGCGGCAGACAGCGATCACAGACAGTATGCGCACCAGGAGGAGGACAGAGGCTGCCGGACCATCGGCGAACGTCGAGGTCGACACGCCTATCCACGTGGAGGAGCCCGCGGTGGTGACGATGCCGGGCGAGGAGCAAGCCGAGCATCATGACGCCTCCCGGAATGATTCGGATCGGGGCACGACCCCGCCACCTCCCCCGCCACCCCCTCCGGCCC